CCACTATATCTCTCACCTGCTTAGGCCCACGGATAGATATGTGCTGCCTTGACGCAGCAGCAGCAAAAATTTTGTCCTGATCACTTTGGCATCTTCCAGGCAAGCAGACAGCAAAGGGGTGACACACAGATGCTGGAAGTTCCCTAAAACATCAGGGATGTTTTTAAACCCTTTATTTGCTTTAGCTTTAGGTTAGGTGAAAGGGCTTTTCTATGACCAAAGCTAACTATACATGAGACTACGCTAGCAGGACCTTTACAGAGGAAGACTGTGGATAAATATGCTGATGATTACAGCAATGCTGCCTATAGAACTCATAAAGTATTTAAGAAGTGTCCTGCCCCATCCCTGTGCTGGGTGAAGTGACTGTGTATGAGCTTGGTGGGTTGGTAGAGGGTGTTGCAACCACTGAGAGGCAGCTTTACAGCTGCAAGCTATGACTGGGCCTATGGGGAACACTGTGGGAACGTTTATCCAACCCATACACTATGGAAGCAACAGTAAGAACCTTTGACTGAATGCAAAGTTTATTTTAAAACATATAACACATGTTCATTCATGAAGTATTTCAATTCAAAATTGAAGGAATCCCGTTCTGGATCAAACAGAGTTGTTTTGGGAGTTAAATAACTTTCTTTACAGCATGATAGCTGTATTTTACTCTGAAAACTCCGGCTCTTCTCCTCTTTTCCAAATTACTCAGTGAATTTAATCAGACAGCATGATAAACATATCAGCCTTTTCATATCAAAATATTCACTCTCAATATTTTAAGGCACACTTAAATATGTTAGAAACCAAACATGGGTTGAATTTTTTTTTTATTTTTTTTTTATTTTTACATAGTGTAGGCTCAGATGTACTGCAGGGACAAGAAGGCATAAAAAGGGAAAGAAGCATGCTATGGCTAGCACCTTACCCATTGTAACTGCCTGGTGTAATGCATGTTGCTTTTGTTCTCCCTCTCATCTCTTGCTTTCACTGTGATATTCCATCGATTTTCTTCTGCTCTTTGTTCTAATAAGGATCCCCATATGTTGCCATGAACCATTGTGATGTAAATTACACAGTCCTGCTGAGATCCATGATGGCTGTTCAACCTGGAAAGTGGTACATCTGGGGTGAATTTCCAAAATTCTACTAAAAAATGAAGCCCACTAATGACAATTGTGAGCAAGGTGGATTGACTTTAGGAAGAAGATGATTTCTGATTAAGATGCCAAGCTGTTTAATGAAGTAAAAAACCTGAAAACACAAGGGTGGAAAAGGATGCTAAGCAATCTGGCAGTGGTGGGAGAGGCTAAAAGAAGACATACAAGATATGTGAGTCTGTGCCATATAGTGCTCAAGCCCAAAGTCTAAAAATTTTGCATGAAGATGTAGACACATGCCTATATCTTCCATTGTGTGAATCTGAGAGAATTGGAACAGTCACTGATTTCATGTTGAAAGGCCTAAAATTTCCCCACTGGAGACAGCTGTTTGGAGACTGTTCATTTCTGTGTTGTGGCTGCTTCACATTCCCCCAGGTGCAGCAAACAGGACATGCAGTGGCACCACTCAGTGTCACAGTGGAATCAGCCCCTGATGAGAGCTGCAACACCTGCACTTAGCACTGAGAGCTGCTGGGGGTAGAAACCTCAGTCCTGGGACACCTTGTTCTGGTGGTCTCCAAAATGGGAGCATCCTATTTCTGCTTGGACTTGAGCTCCCCTTTCTATTTCCCCCTTGCCTTTTCCTCCCACTGCCACCACTTCATTTTTGCCCTTTGACCACCATAAATCAGAGTGTCACTGACACTGGCAATGGGGTGGGAGCAGTGACAGCAATGACCTAAGCTTTGCACACATTGTACTGTTTGCTTGCATTGCCATTGCACCAGTCCTGTTTCTGGCTTTCCTCTGGCTCAGACTCTAGCTGTGCTCTGAAAACATCCCTTATTAATAAAAACTCAGTGAGACGTGGTTTTTCTTACCCCAGATAAAATTCAAGTGCTTTGTGTTTCATGATAACTTTAAATGCCAGCTGACTCAAAGGTATTTTGCAGAACTCTCCTTCCATGGGAAAACCCTTCGTGTCAGCTCAGGCTCCGTGTGTGCAGGACTTGCCTCTCTTACCTTTGTCTAATGCATTGGTGCCAGAGGGAGACTGATGGCAGCTGAGGGATGGGTGCTGCTGCACCTATTTTAATTTCCATTTTATTATCTGCAAGCCTGTTCTGGGACAGGGGAAAAGGTGGTTTTCTCGGGACTCTCATAATACACTCTCTTTCTCTCTGCTTTTCTCTGCTTTCCAGAAGGAAGAAATGCAATGGCTCCCTCTTCTTTGAATACTCTAAGAGTGTATCCATAAATATAAGAGCTAATTCCAAGAAATACAAATATAAGTCTTTCAAATCAGAGAATCATATTTTAAACTGAAATGCATTTAAGTTTTAAAATATGTGAGCTAAATAAATTTAAAATATCACTTCACTGTGCAGCTGATATATTGATGTACCTTACTAAAGGATTACAAAATTTTGTTTCTTGCAATGTTTTCTGACCCTGGGAAGACTCGTCTTCCTCTTAAATGTTGTTGTCATCAGCCAGGATTCTCAGGAAAAATATCTCACATATCTGGAAAGTCAGCTGGAAATTGTTGCTGCAATTTTTCATGAGAAATTGTGACATGCACTTCATGGAAAATCAAAACTCACATCTACTTTTGTCAGTGAAACAAGGATGAAACTGGCTGAACACTTAAATTATTTCATCAAAAGTCTTTCAGGCAGGTATTTAAAGCCAAGGACATTTTAAGAGAAAGGAAAGTACAGCCAATTTTTAAAATGTTTTAAACCCTTTTTTTCCCATCTGAACCAAAGTTTTAAATTTGTTTTGTATATCAACTTTAAACACAAAGCTATTACCCACTGAGAAAAACTAAATAATATTGTAGGGAGTGAATGAACAACCTTGATAATTAATATATTTATTAATTATTAATTGTAGTTGTTTAATAAGAGCCCTATTATTGATACTTGTGTGTGTTCATTTTTCTTATTATTTCAAATGAATGCAAACAATTTTATTTTTTTTTGTAAGTTCCTAAAGCTTCTACAAGACACTAGAATTTGGAGAAAACAGAAATTAAAATGCATGGAGAAATGTGTGCTTGTTATTACATTATTCAGTGCCATAGAACTCCAAGGAAAATGTTGAAGAAAAAAAAATTAAACAGATTTGTCAATATAGAAATGAAACCTTAGTATCTCATTATTAAATTCATTACATCTATCAGCTTATTGCTCAGATTAACTGTCAGAAGACATCAGCTTTCTCTGTATGCCCATATAGCATCCCATGAAGCATTCAAACATGTAATGATATTAACTACACTCTTACACATCAGTGTGTGAACTGCTTTAACAGGAAGGAGCTCTCTAGTAATTAACTGAGCTTAAAATTTTACTACTGCCTCTCAGTTTTCAATATTGACTTGTAGGTAAGTTGTTATGCAAACAAGCTCTATTTGCATACCTGTAAAAGAAAATAAAGTTCTTTCCAAAAAATTGCACCCATTCTACATATCAACAAGAATTTCACCCTGAGTGTTCTCAAGATATGTCACAAATTTCAGTCCTGATTCAGGCAAGAATTTTATCTGGGATTCTTGCTGTGAACAGGGTTGTATGATTTACGGCTTCTGGAGTTCAGACCTACATGTCTAGAAATAAAGACATGTCAATTAAGGTGAAAACCAGCAGTAGTAGCATGCTGGCAAAGAGAATATTTCTGTTTTCTGTGTTTCTGAGAATGTCGTCACTGAAGAGCTACCCCAAACTCTGACTCCAGGGTTGTTCATAACCCTTCTCTTGTCACAGTGAGAACCCTGGTGGTAGCAAAGTGGTGTACCCTGAAACTTCATAACGACGACAGGGAGGCTCATCTCTTCCTTTCTAAACTTGTTAGCTACAATTTAGTGATTGTAAAGATGAAGTATGAACCAACCACCACAAAAGCATTCTAGTATTCCCCTAGAAGTAATAGACAAACTAAAACCAAACCAAACCAGTAAAAAATATTCATGAAAAAAATTGCAGATATAAACTTTTATTCCATGTATTAGAAGAAAAATTATCTATAATTCAGTTTTTACAGTGCATCTCACATGAGATCACGAGTTACAGTTGGACTGCCCCAGGTGATTTCCTATGTCTTACAAGTCTAACTTTAAGAAGTTTACAATACAGCCAATGGCTCTGTCCTGCCTGTTCAGCATTCCCAGCCCCAGATGGGAATTCTGCCCCGTGTTTCTGAAGGGCAAAGATTTGCGACACGCAATTCAGACTTAAGGCCATTCCACTGCACTTTACAGGTGCGCAGCCACAGCACAGCTACGGGCTAGGGACAGACGTGTTCCTGCTGCTGCCGCTGCCCCGGGAAGGGCAGGATGCTGCCAGCACATCTGGGGGCACATCTGGGGGCACAGCCGGGGGCACAGCTGTGCTGCCCGCCGGGCGTGCCCGGACCCTGCTCTGCCGCTGTGCTCTGGAAGCCCGTCCCGTCCTTTCCCGATCATGGCAAGGTTTCCCGCTGGAGCGCAGCGCCCGGCACGGCCGGGTCAGCGAAACCCGCGGGGAACGCACCGCCTAAGGGCCGCCAAAGGAGCGGGGCAAGGTGGTGCCCCCCGAAGGGCAAGACGCGCTGGGGTCTGCCGGGTCAGGCCCTCAAGCAGCGCCCGGGAGAGGATGCTTCCGAGGGGAGCAAGCGCTCCGAGCGCCCCGGCGTCGGAGCAGGCCCCCCGCACCCGCCGTGCCCCCGAGCCCCGGCCGCCCCAGCGCCGAGGGAGGCGGCGGGGCCGGGCCGCTGCCCCCGCCAGGGCGGCTCCTGCCTCCTTCCCTCCCTGCCTCCCTCCCTTCCTGCCGGCCGGGATTGGCTGTGCCCGCCGCGGGCGGGCGGGACACGCGGCGCCCCGACGGAGCGGGGAGCGCGGCCCTCGCAGCGCGCCGCCGCCTCCTGCGCGCCCGGCTGCCCTGCACCGCGACTTTCCTTTCTCCCCTTTTCTTTTTTTGTTTTTTTGTTTTTGTGGGTTTTTTTCTTTTCCTCTTATCCCCCTTCCCTCTCGGGACTGGAAGCAGGAACCGCGTCCCTGAAATTGCTATGCCAGCTGAACTCTCCCGGGCCGTGGGAATGCACGCCATCTCCGACCTCCACTCCTCCCTCCCCCTGCGGCTCCTCAACAAGGGGCCCGAGTACCTCCGCAGGCAGCTGGAGGCCGGCAAGCCGGGCAGGAAGAGTGCCGTGGAGAGACTGGCCGCCGATAAGGCCAAGTACGTAAAGAGCCAGCAGGTGATCAGCACCAGGCAGGATCCCGTCATCGCGCTCAGCTCAGCCTCGGAGAGCAGCAGCGAGACCTGCTCCGTGGAGAGCAGAGCAGCGAGCAGGGAGCTGGGCACGGGCACGAAGGCCCTGGAGCTGGGCAGGGCGGTGAGCTCCTGCCGAGCCCCCCTGCAGCACGGCCCCCCCATCGCCAGGCGCAGCACCAGGAGGCAGATGCGGCCGGATTCCCTGGTGATCTACCGTCAGAAATGTGAGCTTGGGAGAGGTCAAAGCCAGGACAGCTCACGGGGGAATTTGGTGAGGAGGATCTTCCATGGGTCCATAAAGGAGAAGCAGTTGGCTTCCCCCGAGTTGCCCAGAGTCATGGAGGACGTCGCAGCCACCGAGGGCTATGAACCTCTCTCAGCAAAAGATGGTGACCGTGAGCCCAGTGACCATGGAGCGGTGCAGACTATCCCTGTGAGCACTGAAGGGGAAGGAGTATGTATAAAAGAGCATGAGGGACCCTCAAAACTGAGTACACCTCCTGAAGAGGTCAAGGAGGTGAAGAGGAGAGGTCTCCATCGCTCCCAGTCAGACATCAGCTCTCGCTACTCCAAGTCCTTCGCTGAGTTTGAAACGTTTTTCAAGTACTGTGGCCTGGAGCAGGAGGTCATTGAGGATCTTGGGAGAGAGAACTTCTCCGTGGTGTCTGACAATGTCTCCTTCAAGATCCGCAGCATCAGCGTGGCAACATCGGAGAGTGAGTTCACGAGGCACAGTGGGGATGAGGGGCTGCTGGAGGACGAGCTCACCGAGCAGGTCCCCAGCAGCACCTCTGTGATTGAGCGCAACGCTCGGATTATCAAATGGTTGTACACCTGTAAGAAAGCCAGGGAGACCAGCAAGGTGATCCAGGAACTGGCGTGATGGCTTCATTCAGCATGCGTTGGAGCCTGGTGAGCTCAAGGTGTGTGCAAAGCCTCGTCCTGGCAATCTGTGTTTCTCTTTCATTTTTAGAGAGCGGTTGACTTCTCATAGTTTATATTAGTCTTTTCAGGAAGAACTGAAGGAAAATTTATTTTACCACATATTTCAAGTATGGCTTTTATGCAAAGCAGAAATCCATACTACTACAAAAACCAAAATACAAACAAGTAAATGCTTGCAACTTGCCAGGTTTAGATCAGACCCCCCACAGGAAATTAAAGAGTCAGTGTCTGTGAAGGATGCCTGTACTTTGGAGATTCCTGCTTGGCAAATATGTTATTTATTTTAATTTCTGCTATATTAAATGCCAGGAAAAAAACTCAGAAAAGCATTCAACCTTTAGTTACAGTTATTTGGATAACAGACTGAACAGTCTACTACTAATTAGGAGTACACTGTATTTATACTGTACTGCTGAAACTATTACTCATCAGGAGTGCACTGTATTTATACTACACTACTACAGTTTTCCCCTCTTTACTTTCCTTCACTCTCTCTCCTTCCCCTTACACATAGGCACCCCCAGGTATCAAGAAAGCAAAACTGAATCAGTGCCCTGCTAGCAATCTTATTCCCTCCATGGCTTTTTTTTGGGACCATAAATTGTTCCAGGTGACCTCGTAGCATTTCAGAGAGTTTGGGTTTTCCTCTGCAGTGGGTTTTGCTGTGTGCTTGGTGCTTGGGCATGAGTTGTGTGGTTTGCCTTGGTCAGAGGGGTACTCCACTGTTTTAAGTTAAAGATAATTAACACAAAAGTGTGACTCTAGAAATCAATTACTTCACAGACAGAAGCAGAACAAATTTAGCTCTGGCAAAAGCCAATTGCCTGGGTTTAGTAAAAGTGGTGTTTGTTTTGCATATGTTCTCCTGAAAAAGAACTATATTCATGGAGCCTGTGGTGTTGATAATCTATAAGAGTTTTTTTTCTTTCCACTACATAAAGCCCCTGGGATAACTACCACAGCTTACTGTGAGTTATTTAAAAATTGCTTGAGTAGGTCTTGATATGAAGGGTTACATGTATATTTTCTGACAGTTCGTAATTGGTGCATGAGAAGAACATCATTTGGTGTAGATACAGCTGTTGATAGAGCGTGTGGGTCTTACAAATACGGAGAATTGTAGTGCTTCAGCCTTATTCCTGTATGGATGTGGGGCTGTCGCTCTAAATTCCTTTAATCCATATAAGGCAGAAATCCATTTACTTGAAACTGGTTTTAATGATGTGAAATTCGGTTCACCTTTATAATTAGATTTTTTCTCAAAAGTCTGTTTTCTTCCTGCAAGAGGCAGAAGACAGGGAGAGAGCCATTTTACAAAATCTTTTCAAGGCCGTGCTGGTAAGAATGTTCTCAGGTATCCGGCTAACAACTTAAAAGAAGTGTTGTTATGTAACAAATCCTTCCTCAAATAATCTTAGAAGAAAGGGCTCTCCTAAACTAATACTTTATCCTTGCTCATCCTTCTCTGATGAAAGGCCAGGGAGATACACAAAACAAGGAAAGTTTGTGAAGCTCCTTGCAGCTGCCAGCCTTGCTAAACAAGAGGATGGGAGGCGGATTCCAGTAAGCATGAACCAAGCAAGAAAACAAACCAACTAAAAGCCTGTTTGCTGCTCAGTGCCTCTGATGGGGGTAGGGTCCAGGTCGTCACCACAGAGCTGGCTCCAGAGGGAGCAGCTGGTCCTTTCCCTGTCCATTTGCAGGGTGCTAAGCATGTCTAGTGCTGCAGCTGTGGCAGGAGATGCTGGTGAGCACCCCAGGGAGCATGCAGTCTGCAGAGGAGGTGCTGCACCACTGCAAAGGCAAGGGCAGGAGCGGGGAGGTACCAGGAGCTGAACCAGTGTAACTTCACATGGACTTAGTCAATGGCTTTTTATTTTTACCATATAAGATAAAATGATAGTACACAGCCTAGCAAGGTGGTGGAAAGATATCCATGAAATAAACAGCAAGTTTATTCAAGTGATCCTATGCTCATTCTGTAATAACTTTAATACCTATAACAAGGGAGCACTTTACTCTGGTAACAATTTCCTTTGACACCAAAATTTTTGACTAGGAAAGACTAATTCAGAGGGCCCTTATTTATAAACCTAATTTTAAGAATACTAGGGCTGACTCTCAACTGTTGGGATCTCAGCTATCTGGTAGTTTCTGAAAACTGAGAACATGCTTACCAATTAGGCCACAGAATTGGGAAGTTCAGAAAGGTCAGCTAAAAATACCTGTACACAGCACCCAGAATAAAGGACAAGGGTCATCAAGAGTTATCATAAGTTAAATATTACATTTACTGGACAGAATTTAAGGAGAGAACTGTTATCGCCACGTGATTGCAAGATGAATCTTGTAGTTCTGGTCTAAATTTTCATTCAGTTCTACACTTTCTCTGACTATACAGCATCAAGTCAGATATCTTTTCACAATATCCAGGTATTTGGATCTGTTTAGTTTGCCTATTAAAGGGCAGTGGACTTCTGTTCTCTGCTGGGGAGCAATGTACTCTTCCTAGTGTTCCGAGGCACATCCTTAGAAGCTCCTGGTTTTCTAGAGAGGCTTGAAAATTGTTTCATCTTCTTTGGACAATGAGGCAAAAACCTCATTTCTGAAATCCCAACATTCGTTATGTATAAAACACCTTTCAAGAGCTGCAGAGCTTTTATGGGCCAGTGATCATTCCATTCATATTTTATGTCCTCTGTTTAATTTTTCATGAGCTCTCTGGGAGCTGGTGAAGCACCATGTAAATAAAAGAGCTGTTTGAAGGATCAGGTTCTTTAGCATATTTCATCAGAGAGACAATTGCAGAGTGTGGGTTGTGAGCTTCAGAAAACTCAGGTCCTTGGCAAGATGGTCATTGCTGTTTCTTGGTAGAAAGCTGCCTGGGGTCACCTCTGCAGTTCAGTTCCTCTCACTATCAGTTCTGCTTGATTCTAGGAAGAGAGTTCACTTCACATCCTCCTTCCTGAGCTGAATCAAGATTATTCAGCCTTGAGTTTCTCATCATTCTTAAATGGGTGGGCATTATTCAAGTGGAAATCTCTAGGGAAGGTAATTTACTATGTTGGCAGTAGCAATAGGCAGCTGAATAAAAGCTTTAGAGTATCACCTTATGCTTGTCTGATGTGATAAATAACAAATAACTCTTTTTCTTCTTTCTTCAGAATTTCTGACTTGGAAGTTGAACATAACCAGGCACAGGAAGAAACTGTTCCCTCATCTGGCTTATGTGTACTTTGTCCAAGTTTAGTATTTTGTTATTGCTTCCTACCTTCACCCCCATCCCCTGGAAGCCTCACTCTTGTCAAGCCCAAGGGTGTCCAAGATTGCAATGAAAAGTGGAGATTGTGAGCTGTGCCCCTGCAAGACGGCAGGAAACCAAAACCCCTGGAAAAGCAAAGCGTGGCAGCAGCTGCCATCCACAGTAATATTCAACATCAGCTCACTGCCTCAGGATGTCATTCCAGGCTGTGACAGAAGGTCTGTTTTGTGCACCCATCTCTTTCCAGCAATGAATTTGTCAACAAGGATGGGGGGAGAAAGTGGGAATGAAGTAGCAATGACCTGTGGGTCAGGTGTTTCCTTGCAGACAGAGACTGTTCAAAGGCTCTGTCTTACCAGGGCTGTTTGATCAGAGCTCATCCTGACGTCATTCACCATCATTTGCTTGGCTGCTGAGGGCTAGCTGTGACAGCCTTATCTGAGACACTGGGCAAACATGCTGTAAACTCTATCCCTGCCAAGCCTCTCTCTGAGGGCATGCAAGCCAAATTGGTGTACCTTTATCCGTCTAGTTTGCTCTTGCTAGTTTGTCACACAGCTTGCTCAGCCATTGGGAAAGAATAGCACCAAGTACTTCCAGGAGCATGGTTCCAAGAAACAGTTTTGAGGGAGGTTTTGCATTGTTTCTGCCTTACAGAATGGTACAGTTTGTTTGCAATGTGTGCCTGACTCTGACATGGAAACATTGCAAGGTTTGGCAGTCGTGGTGTAACAGCTTTAGTTTTAGGCAGTGTGTGAGCAGGCTCTTAGAGAATGGCATTAGGGAGCTGTGCAAGGCAAGAGGGTATGTTAGGGCACAGCAGGCCAGGGAATGTCCTGATGACACCCAGGGTGGACAACACCTCACTCAGTATCCTCAGTAAAATGCTTCATTTTGTCTGCCAGAGCTAAAGATGCTTTAAAAGGTGATACTTGGATTATTAGTGTGGTGAATGAGGCCTCTGCAGTACCTCATGGAATCTTCTGGCTATGCCTCAAACACCCTAATGTATCATTGCTTGCTCGAAAATCAAAGCATTTCGATGTGGACATTACAAACCACAAAACAATGCAAAAAAAAAAAAAAAAGCCAAAGTCACTTTCCCTTTCATTTGCAGTGATACCCATCTGTGAAAGCTGCTGGACTGGCATAATGTATACTTTAGCTGTTGGTCCTGCAGAGGTTAAAAGCTTGCTTTATGTTACCATGGTTGTGGAAGAGTTGCCCCTGAAGAGCTCATTGACATCAGCTAGATATCTGAGTTGCACTTCCATGGATTTTAAATGTTGGATGGGTAGTTCTCAATTACAGCACCAGTTTGGGCATGCAATATCTTCTGTTTCTAGTGTTAGGTACTAAGGCCTACATGTCTGAGGTTCTTAAGATAACTAGATAACAATTCCAGATAAAATAATTGTTGAACCCATTTTCAGTTGGGAGAAAATGAAATAGTTTGTGTAAGCTCCTTCAAACTTAGAGAGAAGGTAGTATATGTGGGTATTTTCTTACATAATGAAATCTCCATATATATTTGTTACATTATTACAAAATAATGATTCTCAGAAAACTTCAAGATGCTGCTAAGAAAATTTATACATTGAAGGTGCAGGTTTTTAAGGATGACAGTCTAGGTTTATTAGTCAGGAACATAATCTGATGTATCTGTTCTATTCATGCTCCCAGCAAGATGCTGTACCACATATATATTTATATGTCAGGGCTAAGGAATGCTTTTCTTTGAAAACATGGATGACTGTAGACAGCTCAGAGTGCAGGAAATATCTTTTGAGTTACAATCCAGTGCCCTGCCACAGGAGAAGAGAATTAATTTGTTTTGTTTCCAAGGAAATTTTTTGTTTCATTTTCAAACTTCTATTTGCTGTTCCTCTTGTCAGTTGAGCAGCTTTCAGAAGTTACGATGAAAGATGTATTACTCATGAGTTTTTAGTATTAGGAAGGAATATGTCTAATTTGCTTGAAAATACTGAACATCAACCTTTCTGAAAATCAATGTGGGTTTCATGGCAGAGGTTAGTGAAATCAGAACTGGACTCATTCTGAATACTTTTTAAATCCCTCTTTTGTCTTTGTGGATAGTTCAGTAGAGTTCAAGTGACTTTCCACACTGGTGTGGCAGAATTTCCTTGGCTTTGTTCATACTCTGTAGGAATCCCAAGCACTCCCATTTATTTTAGAGGTGATGTGGACCTGTCTAAGATCTTTGCCTGATAAGCTATAAATTCCCTTTATTTAATAATACCTCTGGGGAAGCTAATAATTTACATTTCCTATATGTCAGAACAAAAATAGATGACAGTCTTTCTCTCCCCATATGTTTTGGGAATGGGTAATTCAGTGTTTTCTCCAAATGATGGGAGCTCTGGAGTTCATTCCGCTCCTGTTACTGTTACATGTAAAGGGTTTTCCTTTCTTCTGCTGGGTCATTCAGTCACATCCTTCAAAACAAGAAGAACTTGCTAACTAGTTAGCCACTACCTATCTTTTTCTCAAAAAAAAATAGAAATCATCATTTTTTGGTTTGGTGCTTTTTTTTTTTACTATTTGATTATAAAAGATATTCTTTGGGACAGGTGGAATTTTTCAGCTTTGGTGTTAAGCTGTGGAAAAGTGGGCTGTTGCAGTTTGAACAGAAGTTTTAGCAACAGAGCTAGTTTTCCAGTTGTCTGGGGAGCCTAAAATGGTGGCTGATGACAAAGGCTAGTCATAAATTGAATTATTTTGACTAGAACTATGTAAACAAAATAGTCAAATGGGGTGCAAGTGTGCAGAACAAATTGCTGTTTACATCCAAGTGTTTCATGGTTCTCCAGTGCTGTAACAAGGGGCAATGTCCACTGCTGTGGCATAACAGGAAAAAGGTTCAAAGTCTGGGGTTTATGGCCTGGAATATGGAGACTGAAATCTTTGCAATATATTGTAAATACTACTGTACAGAAATCTATAAGAAATACAGATTTTTCTATATGTATATTACTTTTCTAAGGGGTATAAGTCTACATGTTTCATGAAATCGGCCAAGCATTACATCAGTGGGGATTAAGCAGAAACTTCCTTCTGGAGCAGGTTGTCCTGCCAGTGCCTCCTGTGCCGTTTCTTGCATCTGCTTTTGAATCCTTAGAAGTGGAATACTGGCTGGATCTGATACGGACGTTTCACCATTGTTATGCTTATATTCCTGTGAAAAAAAACGCGTGCTATTGAATGCATACAAATAAAACTACCGCTCTGAGAGGTAATGCTTGTTTATTTAAAGTATACTTGTATATTGCTGTCTCCATTAAAGTGCTATTATTTTAAAGCTGGAATCCCATTAGGGAATTAATTTCTCTGTGAGTGAGGATGATACTTGACTCTGAACATCTGAAAATGCAATTTATCCCTGAGCCATGCCCAGACCCCTGGCTGAGAGCTTAGGGATGAAATCTTGCATAGAGGTGGAACAATAAATAGTAGCTCTCAATATCAGTAAATTTGAATTATATGAGGCTAAGGCTGTTCTACAACATTCTAATATTTTTTATTTCAGAATATGACTGAAAATATAGAGTTTATTTCTGAAGGGTACTATTTTTTTCCAAATTTAATATTGTATTTGGTCTTGCTCATGTTAAAAGTTATGATGTGCTGCAGGCAATACCCCCCATTCATGTCAGCCAGTGTCCAAAGTGTGAGGGAATTTGAATTCCTGCTTGGAAAATGTGTTATCTCCAGAATCTCATAAACAAGCCGTTGTTTGACTGTTCTTTCCATAGAAAGAATTCAGTATATTATGCTAAATTTCTGTTCATTTATTTTGTGAAGAAAGCAGCACAAATAATGGTTGCATACAGTGAGCTTTTACCAGAAACCAATGCACTCCAGTTTGACAGTAATCATTTTGGTATGGCCTAATATGCTCAGACTCAAGTTCTTCATCAACTAGCATTTGAAGGCAACTTGAGGTAGAGCTAAAGGATGCCTGGTGTGCAGATTGGGATCTTCCACAAAAACCCAAGAGCAACTTTATTATCAGTGACATGTAACCTGCCCTTCACAAATCCAGGGTGACCTCTGTCAGTGCAAGGTATGAAGCAAGTCTGGAATGGGTGAAATACATGCATCCCCCTTTCTACAGAGGTTAATCTCCCATAGCAAGCCTTTGCTCATCTTGCTGCCTTAGAGAGGACAGAGCCATCATAGTCTGAGAATGACCTTGGGCTACAGCCCAGCTTAGCATTTAGGAACATTGCTCTTAAGTAATTTTTCAGATAACACTTCTATCCCATATTTTATGAAGTCCAGTGTATTTCTTCCAGAAGGAAGGTTTGGCAAGCTCCTGCTCTTAAGACCGTCTGGTGCAAGCAATCTTTAAAGGTCCACAGTTTATCCATCCACTGCTTTGCTTCTGATTTATCTCTGAATAGTAAATAGGCATTGGAAAGAAACCAGAGAAAAAGGTCTTTGCAAGTGTATTGTAGATGTTGAGGCATTCTGAACACACAACTGCAAAAGTACTTAGTATCTCCAAGAGCTTTAGCCAAGGAACAGTCTATGTCAGCAGGCAAAAAAGCACATGCGGGTCTTGGCTTCACTCTGCAAAGAGATGACTTCAAATTTTGGGGACGTTTTGTGATTGGACCATATTTATCCTGGCTTTATCCCGTGGTGCTGAAGGGGACTACGTCAATTCACTAGAGTATAATGTAGAGAGAGGTAGTAGTTAGCCCATCCTTGGAAATAAAATGGGTTTAGAAAGGACTACTCTGCTCATTTACAGGCAATGATGTAACAGCAGTCTGTCAAGGTCTCCATGACAGAAGGTGTTGAGAATTTTGGTCAATTATACTTGCCAATAAAATTAGTGATATAGCAGAAAAACAAACAGTATCTTAGAAAAAAGCCCCTCCAGATTGAAGTCGGCTACATATATCCATCTCCAGGAATCAATGTAGTCACTGAAAGAACAGGAAATCCTGTAAAATTAGCTTGCACATTTGTACTGGACTTGAGTTGCCTCAGCAGTTATGATTAAAAATATCTGAGAGGTGTGATTGTCTGGGTTTCAAAATTTGCCTCAATCATCAAGAGCT